GTTAAACGATACATCAACGGTCCTGCAGACTTAACTGATATAGTCTTCGAATGTGGTGCGCACACATACCATTTTATGTCCTCTGGATGTATTGCACTGGCTGTTAAGTTGAAGCACAGACTGCCAGAAAGCCCCGAAAAGCCACAGCCACCCTCACTTTGCTTCAACACCCCCCAAAAAAACAACTCTGAAATGCAGAGCTGCCCCCTCAGTTTGTTAAAGAGAAACTTCTTTCCCCTAAAAGAGGCCAAACTATTTTTACTGGCTTCAGATCCTCACAGAATGCATACATGGAGGTTTTGGGCCAGGGGGAAGGCGATTCCTCAGAAATGCGCTATACGTCTGCATGTGGCAAATGTTTCTGCTTCATAAACTTTAGCAGCTATGTCTGACAGTCGGTGTATTGGAGCAGTGCCTGCTGTGATGATGGGAATATTCATGCTGTGGCATCCTCAGGTTCTCCGTATACAGATGACAGGTCTGGTTGGGTTTGAAGAACTGCTGTGAGAAATAAGAACAATAGCACAATTAGCAGAATTCATGTGTCAATGCATTTAAGTGTAGTATTTTGTAAGTAGAGGTGTATTTATATAGCACCTTTCACAGACATTGTCACAAAGTGCTTTACAAAAATCAGAAAAAAGGTAAAAGAACACATTTCAATAAAATAAAACATAATAAAACAAGTTAAAAACCCAAGTACAGTAACACCAATGCAAAACTAGCTCACCATACTGTTAATTAAAGGCTTGACCAAAAAGATACGTCTTTAACTGCTTTTCAAAAAGTTCAACTGACCCCTGAGTTCTCTGTGCTAGAGGGAGAGAGTTCCAGATTCTTGGGGCCACAACACAGAAGGCACGGTTACCTTTTGACTTTAGACCGTAGACTTGGTAATACCTAATTTTGATGGTCTATTTTATTATTAGGGCGTTCTCACACTATGTACAGTTACCTTGAACCGGGCTGAAGCACGCTTGTCCTCCCTCCCGTCTCCCCCGACAGCCCGCACTCACATTAGATTCGGGCATGGGCACGCTTATGGGCAGCTCATCGGTGATGTGCTGTTCAGTAAGTGCTTTCTCTAAGCACCGTGGACATTTCTTTAGTTGTATTGTTTTAGTCGTTTGGGATGCGGTGACACGCAGTCAAATATTTAGCTAACAGACCAGCCACTTTCAATGCTCATAAACAACCATAATGTCCTTGTGCTGCAGGAATTATGAGGTTTACTAAAGGTGCAGCTGTCATGCAGTGAAGGGTTTGTGTCTTTAATAATCTACAACATATTGCAACTTGTATTCCCTACGTTGTGGGTTCCAAATGTCCCCAAAAGTATAACAATACCAGTAAATTTTGTCTTTATGGGTGGATTTTTTTCCCCATGAGGTAAACGGCTCATAAATCACCCACAGTAGTTTTTAAAAATGCAAAATGTTTCCTGTGAGTGTTTTACGGACAGTTAGGATTAGAATAAGCGGATATAATACACAATTTGTACAGAATAAAAATCATTACGTCTATGAGAAGTCCACATAAAGATAGTTGTGTGTGTGTTTTGGTTATGTTTTGGGCATAGATTTTTTAAAAGGTATCAGAATTTTATCAGAATACAAAAAAACAACAACCTTGTTTTAGGCTCAAATGGTTACACTGCTCCTTTCACTTCCGCAAAATTAAGCACATGACTGAAGTAATTAATATCTCTTCCCACACTTTATATAATTTCTTCCTCTGCGTTTTTGAACTAGTTATGAGCTATTATTATAAATCAATCCTCTCCTCGTCATTCTTATGATTGTTTTTATTTTGCTGCGTCAGTTGTTTTCTTTATCAAAAAGAAAATAAAGCGAGCATTTTTAGGAGGCATGTCATGACTGGAGCGGGTGGGGAAGGGTGTAGGCTACTGAGAATCCCACAATGTCTTTCTTTCCTTGCCAGCAGTACTGTTTATGAAAGTGTGTTTGTATTGCCCTCCCTTGTGTGAACGGTTTGTGCAGCTAAATCATGTTTTATCTTCATCGTATTAGCTTTGGATGGACACTTCCTGTTGATTGTTTTACACTTCCCATGGGCTGATACACTGAAGGCATATTCGATGACAGATGTGACCGTTTTGATGGATGCATTAGTTGTACCTTAGATTAGTGTTCATGCAAGTTACATTTCTAGAGAAGAATTGAGTCTGTGAACACATTTTGAACAATGGTCAAATGAATCACGCACTGTACTTACAGAGCAATTCCTTTCCTTGAGACTTTCTTCATCTCCCACAGTTGGATTCACATGACCACATAATTCCACCACAGAGGTCAAGAGGGCATGGGTCAGGTCACCTCCCTTCATTTGCGGGTCCCACATGCCAGTTAGAATGCCCAAGCTCTTATTAATAGGCTTACAATGAAGCCCACAAGGTTCAACCACAAGACCGGATACACGGGGTCCACAGAGGCATTAATATATGGGGCTAAATTAGCACATCTGTCACACTTTCTCTGTGTGTGTGGGTCTTTTAACATTTCTTTGATTAAATCTACTAAAACACTAAAAAGATGTTAGTTCAGCATATTCTGTACTTAAAACAAGTCATAAAAATAAAAACTGTCTTTTGTTCTGAGATTTCTATTGTTGCTGCTTATATGATTTAAACACTAATAAACTTTAATCTATGGAAACCTATTTCTGCCATTTAAGAATATAAAATAGCAGGCATAAAAATGAAAATCATGCCATACTCGAAGTAATAAAATAAAATTTCAAATGAAAAAGTCATAATTATAACATAAAAAGTTGAAATGATCAAAAACTGACTTAATGACACCACACGATGGACTGTGAATACAGACATATTACAATCTTTTAAAAGTCATCATTATGATGACTTAATGGGCCCTATCATACACCCAGCGCAATAAGGCACAAGACGTGTTGGTCATGATTTGCTGCTATTTTCAGACCACTGCAACTCTAACTTTCATGTTTTGTGTCACGTTGTTTAAATAGCAAATTCATTTGCGCCACTTTGTGGACTCATGGGTCTGCCGGTCTATAAAGGAGGTTTGTTAAGGAGCATTGTTGCCATGTTGCTATTTTTAGAAACTGAAAAATATAAAAACCACTGCTTCTAAGCCTTCATCATGTCTGGGGCTTTTTTTCAGTTTATTCATAACAATTTGCATTTGTATAATGTTTTTATTATTAGCAGTATTATTTATTTTTTAATAATTTGGGGGCGACGCAGTGGCGCAGTGAATAGCACGATCGGCTTACAGCAAGAAGGTCACTGGTTTGAACCTCGGCTGGGCCAGTTGGCATTTCTGTGTGGAATGTGCATGTTCTCTCCTTGTTCGCGTGAGCTTCCTTTGGGTGCTACGGTTTCCCCCACAGTGGTGGGTTTCCCCCACATGCGGTATAGGTGAATTTCAGTATGCCAAAATTGAACATAAAGTATGAGTGTGTATGGATGTTTCCTAGTGATGGGTTGCAGCTGGAAGGGCATCCGCTGCGTAAAACATATGCTGGATAAGTTGGTGGTTCATTCCGCTGTGGCAAACCCAGATTAATCAAGGGACTAAGCTGAAAAGAAAATTAATCAATGAATAAAGTTTAGATTTGTCCACCTGTTGGGTTTTGGTGAGAATACACACTTAATTATTAGTGTTCCTTTATTTGTTTGCTGGAAATTAGAACTGAATTTAGAAATAGTTTTGAAACAAATCTTTGTGCTTAACAAACTAAATTAAATATGTAGGCTAATGCATGTCTTCAGTAGGGTGCCTTACTCCATGAAAGTAAAGGAATAAAAAGTAAAAGGAAACTAAAGAAAAAGTAAAGACACCAAATGGAGGCTCATTCTTTATCCTCGTGCTGCTGATGGTCTGTTTAAGTGTTTTCTCACTAGTTAAGCATTCAGTTTTTCCACTTACAAAGTCCGCCATGTAAATAGCAAATGTGAGACCGGTTTAAAGCACATTATGCTAAAAACACACCAATAGCTAATTAAGAGTATAAGCACAACCCTGTTAGATCATGCACCTTGGCATAGAGCATATTTTTCTGTCCTTAAAATAGAAAATGTGTATTAAGACTTGCCCTTAATGATTTTGCGCCATGCGCTTTAGACTTCTAGATTGTTAAAATAGAGCCCAATATGTCTAATGCTATGTTCACACCAGACGCAGATAAATTACTCTATTCGCGCGTAAATAGGCATGTGAACATTTTGAGTTTACATGCTTCATTCGTGCATCAAATTCACTTCGCAACAGACATGGATTCGTGTGATGGGCAGGGCTTCGGTCTGCCCAGTGAGTCTAGCTTCGTTGCTAAATGGCTAACATGGATTTTATTGAGAGAATAGCTGTGTTTATGTGCTTTATGAAGGCTGAAAAACAGCGTTGATTTGTTTGGAGCCGTATCAGAGTCCACCGGATCCTTTCAGAGGTGCACCCAGCTCTATGAGTTTAGAAACTCCTCCAGGAACTTAACCTGGATGATGGAAGCTTTGAGCGGGGCTTCCGACTGAGCCGAGCCCAGTTTGATGAACTGTTATAGGTGTCGGCAGGAGGATATCCCCCAGGGCACCAAAAACAGGCTCTATGTCATAATAACACCCCTACAAGAGAAAGCCTGATTGTTTCACGTGGTGTGAATGTCCACTGCAGTTCAGATTTTACAACTCGAGCGATCCACATGAAATGCGTCATACAAGCGCTAAGCGTATCAATCATGAAAAACGCTCAACCCATACAGATTTTTTCGCACAAATCACGCCATTCATGCTGCCTCATTCGTGCGTATTGTGCTGCAGAATATCTATTCACGTCTTAACATTAGCTTAACATGTAAATCTCTTGCGCTTGACGCTTCTTCCGCATCTGGTGTGAACGCAGCATACATTGTGCAATAAAAAGTTGAAAGTGAAAATAAGAAATATATTGTGGTTATTATTATATCAATGATCATTAATAAAATAAATAAAAGAGAAAAGACACCATCATGCATTGAAATCATTTTATAATCAAGTTGAATCATAAGCCAAATTAATAATCACACCTATATAAAATGAACATTGTGTTAATACATGAGAGTTGTTGATATTTTACGTGTTGCTCCTCAGGTGAATCCTTGAAATGAGGAGGCACTGTGTCATGGAAATAAATATGCCCGTTCAAAAAGAGATCAGCTTTGATATTTGTATTCTCATTAATGTCAGTCTTACAGGAAGTTTCCTTGCCTTCTTTTTCACCGCAGCTGCCTTCTCAAACAACATACCACGTGAACATTTTGACAGTGATTTATTTTGCTATCTTGACCTTCATGGTTGAATGCAATTTAGAACTCAAAATGCTCTTTTTCCATTGCAACTGCCATTTTTATGAGCAGCTTTTGACTGATCCACCCATTAATTGAGACTATGGCTAGTACATCTGTATCAACCCGAAAACATGAGGTCATTTCCACCCCAAAAAATAAAACTGCCCAACAATGACCTTAAGATTATAATGTAGGGTGACCCTATAAGTCTCTTTTTTTCCTAATTGTATAAAGTGGGATAATATGTCAGGATATGAGTGTGTAAGATGTATCTGCAGAAAGACAGGAATGAAAGTCAACAAAATACTGTGTTAAGTAGGTTTACATTATACGTATTTATGTCCAGGTGGTCACTTAGAGCTGACGTCTGTCTGAGGAGGCAAAGAAAGCTTTTCTTCTGTCAGCCTGCGTAGAACAATGATGTGAGCAGTGTGTGTGTCTAGCAGCGTCTCCAGTTCATCCTCACTGCTCCCCAAAACACACACTCCATTCACCTCCACCAGCCTGAAACACACACAAACATCGTGTACCTATTTTATGTGGTAATTTGGCAAGGTTAGACACAATAAAGAAATACAAACACATTCCTACTACTTAGAATGTACTAGTAGAAAGTACTAGTTATAATGTATAGTTATTAATATTATTAATATTATTATTTATGCTCCAGGTTTTAAATAACAATCTTAAAGCATTTTAATTAAAGAAAGAACGTGACAGCTTTGAAATTTGGAAAATATAAATAAGGGTAATGTACATTTAAAATTGTGTGAAAAATGTTCATACATTACATTGTTTAATTTGTGTCTAAGCAATAAAATAATTACTATCATATACTTTAAGCATGGTTTACAGAAGTAATGGACTACAGTGCCATTTATCTTAGTTTAAGATCACTAGATTTTCCTGTTTGTCTTTTATTACTTTTTTACATAATACAATTTATTTGATCACTTATTCTTTTATACTTTAATAAACACAGCTAAGGTCATACAGGTCTGGTTAATGTTAAATGTTTCACCCATATTTTGCTATTTTATTTCCACATAAGATATCTCAAATAAAGTACAGAAAACACTTTACCTGCCTGCAATATGACTTCTGTGGAGATAAATGAGGAAATTACATCTGTGTATGTGTTTATACAGTAGGCATATGAACACACACACACAAAAAAAAAAATAAAAAAATAAATAAATAAAATATATATATATATATATATATATATATATATATATATATATATATATATATATATATATATATATATATATATATATATATATATATATATATATATATATATATATATATATATATATATGATTCATTGGATTTATCTAATTGTTGTGAACAATTTGTTTGGGCTGAATTTAAAAGAGCCCCTATTATGGGTTTTTGAAAATGACATTTTATGCAGTGTGTAACACAGCACTAAGTGAATGAAAACCTCCAGCTGAGGTTTAACGAAATAGTTGACTCAATTAAATAAATCAAGATTGGTTCGGATCTTTTGCTTAAACACATCAGCGTTGATACAGTACATATATATAGTTCCAGATACGGTAAAATGTGAACGCACCTATCCTTCAGACACTAGCAGATCAGATTGAGATTCAGCTGCGAGAATATAGGGTTAAAGTTCATTTTTATTTCACAACAGTAGCCAACCCACTGGTGTGTTTGTTCCTGTCATTTTTTTTATTTTTAATACAACCTATATTTGATAACCTATGCTGCAACGTGGGATTCGCAAGATGTTTGCTATTAAATGAAGGAGCAGCAGAGACTTATGTATGGGTCTTTGTCAGACTTTGACTTTGTCAGTAGCTAGAGTTCAAATGGACCAGTTTTCTCTTTTACCCGATCACAACCTGTAAGTGTAATTAAAATTATTGCCTTCTTTGTGTAGTTTGCAATATATGTGTGTAAATGTGTGTAATAAATTGTAATCACCCTGCACAGCTTGTAATCACTTATCTATTGTAGATCAGTGCTTGTATTGTATCTCTCAGGTTAAATCTTTATTGGGCTGTTCACATATTGTGTCTAAAACGCGACGAGTGCTTCTTCCTTTAACAATTTTAATGTATTTCTCACTACTCCAATCCTCTGCTGTTGCTCTGTCCACCATCAGCTGTTCCTCACACGCGGCACAGTTCATTTTCAAAATAGTTCAACTTTTTGTCACTGTGTGGATTAATATTGAATGTAAGTCATTGTTATGACTTAGAGTTAGGGTTAAGAGTAGAGTAATATGCTTGTGTTTAACTGCATTGCTTTATTGCATTCCTGCATTGGGCTCTACTTTCTGCTACTTCATACTGTAGCCGTAGTGGGCATTTCTTTCTGTCTCGTGCTGAATGCAGTCGACCAATTACAACAAGCTCGGTCCAATCAGCAGATTAGCTTTACGCTAAGGAGTGGGTTGGGAACAAATGAATTGCTGAACAAATCATTTGGAAGTCGTTTGGATAATTAGGTAAAAAATTAATGCGTATTATAACACAATGAAAGTGTTTTTTGACCTTGGATGCATATTAGCCTGTTGCTGGAGACTCCAAAACTAAATTATGACCTTTTATAATGCAAAATAGGGGCTCTTTAAATTCAGCCCACATTAATTGTTTGCAACAACTTTGCAGAAATCTTTTCAGTACATATTTTATATTTATGTAAAAATAAATCCTTCCTACAATGTAAATAGGTTTCAGTACTCAGTAATTGACTAAATAATTAACAACATTTACTTATTGTATGAGTTTGGATTAGGATTAGTCCAAATAATTATACATAATTACCCTTATTACTTTTGTAAGTACATGTAGCATTGTACCCAAAGCATTGTGAAATATTGTTAACACTAATCAAATTTGTATATTAAATAACTGCAAAATTGCACTGCTGAAAAAAGCAAAAAAATTTAAAGCTAAAGCTTTTTAGTTTTAAAACAGTTAAAACTGTTTTAGTTTAAACAGTCCATTAATTCATGATCAAGGCAGGACATTTGTAGAACACACTTTCTATGTAATTAAAGCTTCAGTATGTTTATAGATTAAATGAACTGATTGTCAGCCTGCTCAATTGTGTACATTCATTAGCGTTTATTTAAAGTGTTACTGGGAAAAAAGCAAAGTGACATCAGCTTTGAAGAGGTTTGCCAGATGTTTGGTTATAAACAACCAAAAAACATGCAGTTCCACAGATTCCTCTTTTCCACTGGGTGCATATGCTAATTTTTATTATGTTTTTCTCCTCTCTCCCTTTGCTCCTCATCCACCACTTAATTATAACTTGTACTTTAATTGTGCTGATGTATATGCATTTGCAAAAGCATGGTTATGAGTTCTGTAAAACCCAGCTCAAGAAGTTGAATACTTAATCTGCAAGGCCATGCATTATTCATGTTTTTATCTGTTCCTTTTGAGTAGCCATCCAAGTTTTACATTTCAGTGTTTTCCTGTTATGCTCCCTGTCTCCTACAAATTTCCATAGCAACAGGGGAAAAAACACAGGAGCTGATGGAACCTCTGTGATCCTCTCTGCTCTTAAAGGCTGGAAAGTTTGGGATGTTTCTTGGCATGCTTTGTGTAAGGCCAATTAGAGGCCTAATTCGTCAAAACATCTATTGCATTAAAATGACCTCTTTGATCTCGCATTCTTTCACATTTAAGTTGAGTAATTCTCAAAGGTTAGAGTGGGTGGAAATCTCCTAAAGGAGTAGACTGCCCAAAAATATTTCAGTTTTCATTTTGGGTGAACTTTTCCTTTAAGGTAAGACACTGGAGGTGGAAAAACAAACAATGAACAAACAAACAAACAAAAATGATTTTCAACATTTCAACATTTGTCTCTAAATCAGGGGTGTTCAAATTTTTTCTTATGAAGGGCTAAAAACCAAACTTGATATTAATATACATATAGCAAACTGTATTACATTAAAGTTGCTATACTATTTAATTTAATATAATGTAAAAATATATAGAAAAAGTAATAATTTAATAGTATTAATAAGTAAAATTCCCAGAGATGGGTAGCAGCTGGAAGGGCATCCGCTGCGTAAAACATGTGCTGGATAAGTTGGCGGTTCATTTCGCTGTGGCGACCCCAGAATATTAAAGGAGCTAAGCCAAAAAAAAAAAAAAAAAAAAGGTAAATAATAATTAAATATTTTACATTTTATAATGTACTTGTTACAATAAAACCATAAACAATCTCATTTATACCACAATGGAGTTCAATGTTTTGTTTTTTTATTCACAAAAAGAATACATTTTCATTTGATAGTGAAATATGTGTCCTAATACTGTTTTTAGCAACGTGTCACACATATATATCTGTTAACATTTAAAAATAATGTTTTAGGGTTTCATGACCCTTAAAAAAACCTGATGAATTCACATCTAATTAAAACATTTCATTTCATTTCAGTTTTTTTTTTTTTAACAAACAAACAAACAAAAGCTTATGTTAAATTAGAAATAACAATCTCTGTTTGAATGATTCAACCTTCCCCATCATTTTTCAATTGTTGGTGGGCCAAATCAAAAGTTACCATGGGCCATCTTTGGCCTGCGGGCCCTAGTTTGGGCATCTTTGCTCTAAATGATTGATTGCATTAAGAATCTAAAATAATGTTTAAATATGCTAATTATACATCATAATTATTTTTTATTAAATCCACTAAAAACACTACAAAGATATTATTTCAGCATGTTCCACACTCAAGCACAACTTTGTTTTTAAAGCAAGTCGTAAAAAACTTCTTTTGTTCTGAGATTTTTATGGTTGCTGCTTATAGGATGTAAACACTGTAATAAACTTTAATCTATGAAAGCCTATTTCTGCCATTTAAGAAAATAAAATAGCAGGCATAAAAAGGTCGAAATCATGTCATACTTGACTAATAAACTAAAGCATACTCAAAATAATGACTAAATTGAAATTATTACTCAAAGAGTCCTAATCATAACATAAAAAAATAAATTATCTTGTAAAAAAAAATCTTACTTAATAACACAATAGACTGTGAATACAGACATTTCATTAACTTAAAAGTCATAATTAGGAGATAAAACGTTCGAGGTTACTAAAGTAACCCTTCGTTCCCCGAGGAGGGGAACGGAAGCACTATAAGTGGATTTGATTTGTAAAATCCACGCATTGGGAGGATTCGGATCAGAAGCCGCTTGTCTGGAGAGTATTGAACGGGCCAATGAATGAAATTAATTGGCAGCGTAAGCTTGCGCAGGTGTGCGACATCTGCAATTATCTCAGCATATAAGCACACCTGAAGCCAGTAGACGCCATCCTTTTAAGCTGAAGAGACTTTCAAACAGCTAAGGGACAGTCATTATGGCGACGGAGTATAGTGCTTCCGTTCCCCTCCTCGGGGAAAGAAGGGTTACTTTAGTAACCTCGAACGTTCCCCTTCGGGGGGAACTTCAGCACTATAAGTGGATTTGATTTGTAAAATCCACGCATTGGGAGCCCATTGAAAGCGC